TGATTTCTGGGTTTTATAGACAATTCCTAAGCAGGAGACTTGAAAGAACAGAAAATGAAAGAAAAATGAGGGAGGCAAGAAATAATGATTCTCAACTACAAAAGGCATTGCTATTGCATAACCCTTCATGTCAATAACAGACTTGCAAGTGATGCAGAGTTGAAAACTATTTCACTCTTTATTGCCTGGTGTAATTATCAATCAATACAACCAAGGCGCAAGTTGATGAAGATTACATTTACAAGACAGTGCTCAAGGTTTTACCCAGGCATCTTCCATTTAATTTTATGCCTAGTCTAACCTGTTTTTTCTTAACACCAGCACCCCCGAAAATCCCACAGTTGCAATCACTGGTACACTCCAGTCTTGGGAGCAATACTAGACTCACTAGTATAGACAAGTATCAGGGGGTAGCCGTGTTAGTCTGTATCCACAAAAACAGCAAGGAGTCCGGTGGCACCTTAAAGACTAACAGATTTATTTGGGCATAAGCTTTTGTGGGTAAAAAACCTCACTTCTTTAGATGCATGGAGTGAAAGTTACAGCTGCAGGCGTTATATACTGACACATGAAGAGAAGGGAGTTACCTCACAAGTGGAGAATCAGTGTTGACAGGGCCAATTCAATCAGGGTGGATGTACTCCTCTCCCAATAATAGATGAGGAGGTGTCAATTCCAGGAGAGGCAAAGCTGCTTCTGTAATGAGCCAGCCACTCCCAGTCTGGATTCAAGCCCAAATTAATGGTGTTAAATTTGCAAATAAATTTTAGTTCTGCTGTTTCTCTTTGCAGTCTGTTTCTGAAGTTTTTTTGTTCAAGAATAGTGACTTTTAAATCTGTAACTTTCACTCCATGCATCTGAAGAAGTGAGGTTTTTTACCCACGAAAGCTTATGCCCAAATAAATCTGTTAGCCTTTAAGGTGCCACCGGACTCCTTGTTGTTTTAGTACAGACAAGACTCCCGTGGCCACTGAAATTCCTACCACTGTCATGTACAGCAATTCGACTGCAGCCCATGTACCTGAGCTAATTTTGATCTAGCTTGCTCAAATAACAGTAACAGTGAAGCTATGCAGCATAGGTTGCAGCTACTCAAGTAGCTATTGTTCATGCTAGCTACAGCAAAGATATCTCGGCTACATCTACCCATGCTGCAGTCACACCTCTAACTGCAGTGTAGTTGTACCTGTAGAGGTTGAATGTGTATGTGACACAATGGCCAAGCTCTCTCTCCAGCCAGTGCGGTGCTATTGGTGTGCAAGACACAGACATATAAACACTTGTGGCTGCAGGAGCCTTATCCACGCTATAATATTTCCAGTGCTGCTGGCGCTGGTAGGAGCAGTGGGAATTTCATTGAAAATGGGTCAGCACGGAGTAGACAAAGCCTTAAGGGGTGTCCGACTTAAAAATTAGCCACAAGGCTTTGAAAATTAGCCAGAGGTTTGGGTTAGGATTTTCCTAAGAGCCGAATGGAGTTATGTGTCCAAGGTTTGGGGGCACCTCATTCTCCTAGGCTCCTTTGAAAATGTCAGACGAAGACCATATCTATACTACGTGTGCTTGAGATGCACAGCAGCAGCGCTGCAGCTAGGCTGCTGTAGTGCCATAGTGTAGATCAGGGGTGGGCAAACTACGGCCCATGGGCCACATCCGGCCCTCAGCTCCCGCCGGGGAGTGGAGTCAGAGTTTGCCCTGCTCCACACAGCTCCCAAGAAGCAGCCAGCATGACCCACTTCCGGCTCGAACCCCCTCTGGCTCCTCTGTAGTATGCGGAGGCCTAGCCAGGCAGCTCTGCGCGCTGCCCCATCTGCAGGCACCGCTCCCGCAGCTCCCATTGGCTGCGGTTCCCGGCCAATGGGAGCTGCAGGGGTGGCGCCTGCGGATGGGGCAGCACGCAGAGCCGCCTGGCTGCGCCTCGGAGCCAGAGAGGGAACATGCTTCCGGGAGCTGCTTGCAGCAAGCGCCGCCCAGAGCCTACATCCCTGTGCCCCCCAAGACCCAATCCCCTGCCACCGCCCTGATCTCCCTCCCGCCTTCCAAACCCCTCGATCCCAGCCCAGAGCCCCCTCTTGTATCCCAAGCCCCCATCCCCAGCCCCAACAGCCTGCCCCATCTCTGATCCCCCTCCCGTCCTCCAAACCCATTGGTCCCAGCCCAGAGCACTCTCCTGCACCCCAAGCCCCTCATCCCTGGCCCCACACCAGAGCCTGCATCCCCAGCTGGAGCCCTCACATCCCTCCCCCATACTCCAACTGCCTGCCCCAGGCCTGATCCCCCTCCCCTCCTTCCAAACTCCTCCATCCCAGCCCGGAGCCCCGTCCTGCATCCCAAACTCTTCATCCCCAGTCCCACCCTAGAGCCCTCCCCCCCGTACCTGAACCCACACCCATTCCCACATCCATAATTCCTCATTTCTGGCCCCACCCCAGAGCCCACACCCCCAGCCCGAGCCCTCACCCTCTCCTGCCCCTCTACCCCCAATTTCTTGAGCATTCATGGCCTGCCATACAATTTACATACCCTGATGTGTCCTTCAGGTCAAAAAGTTTGCCCACTCCAGCATAGATGCTAACTACAGCATCAGTGTAGTTAATTCACCTCCCTGAGTGGAGGTAGGTAGGTCAACAGAAAAATTCTCCCATTGACTAGCCGGGTCTACACCAGTGGTTAGATCGGTTTAGCTATGATGCTGAGTGCTGTAGATATGTCAACCTAACCTGTAAGTATAGACCAGGCCTTAAAACATTCCACCCTTCATTCAAGTCTGTGTATCCACCATTAGCAGATGACAGATCCCCGCTAACATGTAAATTACATGTATTTTCCATTGAGAGCAGCTTCTCCTTTCAAACGTAGGCTTAGCTTACACTTAAAAGTTAGGTCAACACAGCTATGGCAATCAATCTACACCCCTGTGCACCGGAGCTATACCCACCTAACACCTCCCCTCCTCACCCCCGGTGTAGATGCAGCTAGGTCGACAGAACAGTGCTTCCGTCAACCTAGCTACCATCACGTGGTGAAGTGATGTTCTCCAGTGATGAAAAACCCATTCCAAAGTCTGCGTCTACGCCATGGAGTTCAGCCGATATAGCTAAAGTGTCGTACCTGTGTTGCTAAGTCCCCTGTAACAGGGTCTGCTGCCGGCTGCGCAGCTGGAGAAGATGCAAGGCCGGGCGTGCCTTCTGTGTCGTCTCCTCAAGAAAAAACAAAACATTCCGCCAGGCCTTCTAGCCCAGCCCCAACTCCCTTCATCAGAGACCACTGCAGGAGACCCTCTCTCCCGGCAGCTTCGCTCTGTAGCGTCCCTTCCTAGGTCTGCCCTCACTGAAACTCCCTCTGACCCTTTATAGCCAGGAGCAGCCCTGCCCTCTTCATTGGCTCAACTAGGAGCACCTGCTCGAGCACAGGGGAGCTGGACCGACTTTAAGCACAGGAACGACCCACCCTGTCACATCCCTGTCGTATAGATATAGCCTTAGATAAGTTATAAATCAATCCATGGATTTTGGTAACTGCTCCTAGGGACTCAGGCACTTCCGAGCTCTCGGTCTGAGTCTTCTGCCATATGTAACCCTCAGCAACCTAATGCTAATAGTCCTGTGCTCTGATACTTATCTCCTCGATTCAGGTATCTCTAAAACAACATACTGGGGTATTTTATCTACGAGAGCTTTTTTCTTTTTCTGTTTTGTTTTAATGTATAATCTGTAACACTTTACAATTTAAATAGGTTGCTCAGCCCAAGTGCAGTCTCAAGCGAAGCTGAATGTCAACATGGCAACCTAGAGCGAAAATACTAAAAACGAGGCGTTTATTGTCACAGACTGGGTGGTATTGGTGTGCCACTGCCCTCTACTGGATGGAATCAGAACTACTCAATTATATCGTGTAGTCTGTATAGCTAAGGTGAAATGGGGAATCTCCTTTAGCTGATGTGGTAGGGCCTGTGCTTATTTTGGAGCAGAAGGATCTGAGTTCTCTCCCTGCTGCCTTTGTGAAGTTCCAAGTTCCCCTGGCAAGCAGCATGGTGATAACAGTGAAGTCACAGGTGGCCACGGATTGGATACAGTGTTATCAAAATTACGCTTATGAAGAGGCCCCTCGGTGTTGCCTGACAACAGAGGGTGTTCTATGACTGCCTTCCATTGTCAGTGTAAAGGCCTTTTTCAGCTTAGCCACTCATCAGCAGGTAACATCAGAAACATCCTGATGTTATTTACTATATCAAATGATTGGAACTGTATACCCCATAGTGCTGGCAGTTCAGTGTCCTCCTCTGTATTCTGAAATGGTTTAGTCACCAGTTGTGCCGATTGTTAATTGAAATCATCTGGTATCTCTACTTTAATATGAAGGGAATGTGATTTAACACTGGATCATTTTCTCCCAGAAGAGCTGTCCTTGCACTCCATGCAGTGTAGAATGCTGGTGTGTCTGGGCCTTTCATAGGGGAATGTTTCTTGCAACCTCACCAGGGGTCAAACACAAGCAGTCCCTTAATGAACAGAGCTTCACAACATCCCTCTAAAGTATTATTGTCTACGTTCAACAGAGAGGAGAGTTGCTCTAAATCACAGTGCCTGAACCTGCCACCCACTAGCCGTTACTTATTGTTTGCATTTGCTGTCACCATCGGTTGTCAAAAGGATTATTAGCAGTCCCAACTGAAATCAAAGTCCTACTCTGCTAGGAGCTGTATATGCCCATAGTGAAAGGGTTTAGAGTCTAAGTACACGGCAGACAAAGGATGGGAGTGGAAACAGAGAGGTGAAGTGACTTGCCCAAGGTCAAATCATAGGTCAGTGTCAGATCCAGGAAGAGAACCCAGGGCTCCTTAGTCCCACTTCCATACCCTAACCACTGAACCATGCTCTAGCCTTAGTTTGCCTGATCTTGTGTGTGTAACTTTAGCTCCTCTCGCCATACATGCCACTCATTCCTTCCCCCTACATTTTGGAGTTGCAACTGAGTGTTGTCTTTGTTCTTTCCCAAAGCTCAGTTTCGGGGGGATCCCAGTCCCAGGAAAGCCAGGAACCTTTCTGAAGAAAAATTTCCTTGGATGCATCGAGAACCTTTATTACAATGGAGTCAATATAATTGACCTGGCAAAAAGGCGTAAACCTCAGATCTACACTGTGGTGAGAATCAGATATGTCTGTTTTTCTTCTTTGATTCATCAATTCCTTCCAATCCCAGCTACTGACAAGTGCTGTCCCTCCTGCCAAATGATTGCAGCTTAGATTAGACCCTTATGTGTATAGTTAGTTAAAAGGTTATTCACCTAGGCAGCTGCAACATCAAGAGAGCTGTTCAAAGGTACATGCACAAATTAGCTGGTTTTACTCATTTCCAGCTATATTTGAGTCTGGGGAAGCTGAGTTGGAGGAAAGTTTTTACTCCTTCTCCTAGTGAATTAAATTTGGATCGAAGTCCCTGGGTCTCTCAAAAGATTCTCTCAGGCCATCTAAAGTAATAAAAGCAATATAGTCAGATTCTGATTCTCTTACTGACTCTGAATAAAACCCTTATTCCCTGGGTGGTCTCGCTGCTATTCATTGTGAGAGGCTATCAAAATCTGTCCCATAGCTTGGGTTTGCCTTGCTTGAGGGGGCGGGAGGGGGGGGGGGAATTGCCACACTTATTTTCAAATATGTTTCAATTCTTCACTCGTCCCCCCCCCCACCTCCATATATCGGAAATGTTGAGTTTTGGAAAGTGTTCATGAACTCTGTAGCCAGGGCAATAAGGAAAGGAGACTGGCGGAAATGTTATCAAAATGTTTTTCTGGGGGTTTTTTTGTTTGTTTTTATCTTGAAAGTCACAATTTCACTGAAATTTCAAAATGTGAAACATTTCAACTAGCTCTATTTATCTTATCCAAAAGAGTAAGGAACAGTAAAAGAAATAAACAGATTAGAAACATTAGACCTGTTGTAGGAAGTGTCTCATGAATTTACATGTTCCAGGAACAAACTGAGGGACCTTTAACTTCATGAGGAAAGAGAACGGTACACTCTACTTTCGTGTTCAGGGTTTAAAAAAAAATACCATTGTGATTGTTTTTATCTCTTGAGTGATTTACTTATGCTGCATGTCTTTGGAATGTTGGACAATAGTATTTCCTTGGAGAACTTACCGCATACATTTGTAAAAATAGGGCCAAACGCTGAGGCAAAACGTTGACTTTGAAATGAACTTGTGAGTGATTCAGCCCTAAGTTTCAAAAGACACACATTAGTATGTTTTATCCAGGTATTAAATATGTTTTTTTTTTTGGTCACAATGTGGGTCTTTTTTGGAGTCTTTGAGCTGGGAAGAATGACGACACTTCAACTCCAAAAGCACAGACCTCTTGGTGAAAAAATAAAATCCTGCTTGATCAGAGGAATGGCCCCCAAAATGTCTACACCTAGTGCAAAGGACAGAAAATGCAGACTGGCAATATAGACCCTCCATTTAGACAGTACGCTTGGATGGTGCATTTTATTATCATTGCACTTGTCCTTTTCTGCAACTCATTTGTAGTCACTGGACTTGCAATAAATGTCCTTCGGGAAAGGCCTTGAGACAATGAGGCAATATGTCTCTTCTGAACTGGAATTTGCCTTTAGATTTCCCTGTTCAACCTGTAACCATTCTTCTTGGTCATCCCATGCAATGTTAGTGACTATCTGCCTTCTCTCCGGGGAGCTTTTTCTTTCCATTCTGGTAGATTTTCCTCTTCAGTCCTTGACCTTGATGACTGTCATATAGAGTCCCCGCATTCCCTCTCTTAATTGTTCAGTGGTTTGGGTTGGAAAATGTTGTCAAACTTCCATAACCATCAGTACCACCACCACCACTTTGGGATGAAATCTCATGTTCACCAAGTGTCCCTTTGTGGCTTTTACAAACACTTAAAATAAATCACCCAGTCTCTTAGGGCTTGTCTTCACTACCCGCCTGGATCAGCGGGTAGAAATCGATCTCTCGGGGATCGAATTATAGCGTCTCGTCGGGACACGACATTCGATCCCCGAATCGACATGCGTACTCCACCAGCCCAGGTAGGAGTAAGCGCCGTCGACGGAGGAGCTGCGGTGGTCGATTTGCTGCCGTCCTCACAATGGGGTAAGTCGGATCGGATACGTCAAATTCAGCTACGCTATTCCCGTAGCTGAATGTGCGTATCTTAAATCGATCCCCCCCACCCCCAGTGTAGGCCTAGCCTCAGAGAGCCTAATTGTAGCTGCTGGGGCAGATTTTATGCACTGCCCGACTCCTTTTATGTTGCCCAGGCAGTGGAAAGGGAGTAGAGACTGGCCAACTTTGGGGAGTCCACAGCTGGTGTAAAGCTAGCTCCTATGCAAGCCTCCCATCAGTTCTTGACCCACTTGGTGGGGGGCTATGGACAGAGCATGATGATAAGAACATAAGAACGGCCATTCTGGGCCAGACCAAAGGTCCATCTAGCCCAGGATCCTGTCTTCCGACAGTGGCCAATGCCAGGTGCCCCATAGGGAATGAACAGAACAGGTAATCATCAATTGAGCCATCTCCTGTTGCCCATTCCCAGCTTCTGGCAAGCAGAGGCTAGGGACACCATCCCTGCCCATCCTGGCTAATCGCCATTGATGGTCCTGTCCTCCATGAATTTACCTAGTTCTTTTTTTAACCCAGTTATAATCTTGGCCTTCACAACATGCTCTGGCAAAGAGTTCCACAGATTGATGCACTCTGGCACTCCCCAGCTCGTGGATGGTCACTAAGGCACCATATCTAGCTAGTACAGATTAGAGGGCCGACAGTGGGTCAGGAAGCTGTAACCAGCCCTCATCTCTGCTGCATCCATCAGAAGTAGGACACAACAGAGCATCTGGCCTCCTCGTTCTAGCCCATATCTGCCTAGTCTTAGGACTGGGCCACACTAAGCCCCCAGTTCAAACTAAGACACGCAACTTCAGCTATGTGAATAACGTAGCTGAAGTTGAAGTACCTTAGTTCGAACTACAAAGTACTTACCGTGGGTCCACATGCAGCAGGCAGGCTCCCCCGTTGACTCCGTGTACTCCTCTCGCGGAGCAGGAGTACCGTCGTCGACGTTGAGCACTTCTGGGATCGATTTATCGCGTCTAGACAAGACGTGATAAATTGATCCCAGAAGATCGAATGCTTACCGCCGAACCCAGAGGTAAGTATAGATGTACCCTTAGGCTTTTGGCCTACAGTTTAGCCTTTAGTGAGATCACCCAGACTTTCAGACCTGTGTGAAAGAGACCTTGAGTAGAACATGGCGGGGAAGTAGATTGGGAGTAGGAAAGAAGAAAAGACAGTTCTTGAGTTTCTTGACACTGTGCTATTGTTCCTGTTCACTTAAAATAGGGAATGTTCCCCTCCCCATTCCCCAGGTTCATAAATTTATTGATGTATTTTTTAAATAGCAGAGAGAACCCCTAGTCTCTTTGCGATCTGAGAGGAAAGTGTCAGGCTTTTCCGTTTCCTATTGTAAACAGGTGTAGTCAGCACTCGTGTGCTTGCAATTCTATGTCAGCTTGCCATGCTGAATCTGGGAATGACAATTCAGCATAGTGAGGGATGTGGTGACACACAAATGCATCACTGTGCTCCCGGGGGAAATAACCAATTGCCAGCATCAACGAGTGAGGAGAAATGCCTAGTGACAGGAGAATGTAAACTAATAATTCATTCCTTTCCAAACATGCTATTCTGTTAAGTTGATTTGAGGCACTATCATCTTGAGAAGAATCTGCTTGTCTATACTCATGTCTCCTTCCGCCTAAGCACTATGATAAGTGTTCATTATTACGTCTCAAAATCTGGCCAGTCATTTCTAAAGATCCCAAGTAGCGCTTATAGGTCAGAGAGTTGGAAAACAACACATTTTTGTTACTTGTACACTGAGGAAAAATGTGTTGGAACCACTGAGAGAAAACAGACGTGGATCACCACAATGCTTTCCCAGCTCTCAATTTTCCAGAGTGCACCATAACTTCTGCAGAGATGGGTGGGACTATAGGGGGAAAATGTTGAAATTGCATCCTGGCCTACCACAAGACCCCCGGTGATGGATAGGTAGGCCGAGTCCAGTTCACTTTGGTTTTCCACTAGAATTTCCAGAATTTCCACTAGCAGGTCCAGAATGAGGCTAAGTGAGTCCCTTACAGCTGTAGTTCCTAGACTCTGGATTGCAACTCTGAAACAATAACCTTTTTTTCCTGTGTCCAACCGTCTTACACTTTAATGTCTCATTAGCTCTTTATAAGTGCTGGGAGCATGGCCTTTGGTTAGCTAGCAGATGGGGTAGAGATCCTGCTGGCTACGACACTGACGTTTCTCAGGGCACCCCAGGGCTGTGATTCAACTTGTTGCCACCTTCCTCCAGTGTGAGGGAGTCTTGTGTGCCCAGCTGGGTGTGAGCTCCCTATCACAAGCAGCAAGTCAGCCAGTCAAGCACTCTCTGGGCTGTACCAGCCCTGCTGGTTGACAATAGATGCAGCCGGTCGCTGGCTCCCTTCAAAGTGTCCCCCTGTGGTATCTGGCCCCGATCACTGAAATCCCAGCTCCTCCATTCCCCAAGGATCAGAGATCCCCAGTTTACCAGTTTTACCTTAGAGCACTGCTCCTGAATCACACACACAACTTGAATCTGGTTATAGTAAAGCAAAAGGACATTTATTTTAAAAAAGAGCAGAGATTCAAATAGAAACCAGTGTGTGTGATGGAAACAGATGGTTACATTAACAACAAAATCATAACATGCAAACTAGGGCTTACGCTTATTAATAGTCACCTTTCCTAGCGAATAAAGTAGATTGTCACTCCCAAGTTCAGTCTTTTGTAGTATTTGCTGGCCCCAGGGAGCCAGAACTTGGTCTGTCATAAAACATCCTTACACATCAAGATACCTCTTCAGTGAATGGATGTAGAGTGTCTTTCTCCACCCTGTGCTATACTGAATCTTTTTTTTTTTGGGGGGGGGGGGAGTCTTTATTCACAGATATATCATAAAAGGAATGATATGACAGTAATGATATATCTGTGATGATCATCACAGATATATCATTACTGTCATATCATTCCTTTTCCCTTCCAAGTGGTTTCAATATTTATAGTTTACCTTTGATGGTTTTCCATTGAC